GGTGGGTTTGCACGCTTGCAAAAAAAACAGGGAGTGATGGGTTTGCACGCTTGCAAAAAACCGGGGAGTGATGGGTTTTGCACGCTTGCAAAAAAAAACGGGGAGTGGTGGGTTTGCACGCTTGCAAAATTGCAACGACTGCATCTTCCCTGGGGATCACGGACAAGGTGCCCGCAAATCCCAGGGCCTGGGCCAGAGTCTCACGCCTGTCGTCGTCCCGGCCACTCGGGAGGCCGAGGAGGGAGGATCGCCGCTCGAGGCCGGGAGTTCGAAACCAGCCTGAGCAAGAGCCAGACCCCGTCTCTACCAAAAACAGAAAGAAATGAATCGTCCAACTAAAAAAATATAGAGAAAAAAACGAGCCGGGCGTGGAGGCGCACGCCTGGAGTCCCAGCTACTCAGGAGAGGGAGGCTGAGGCGGGAGGCCCGCTGGAGGCCGGGAGTCGGAGGCCGCTGTGAGCGAGGCTGACGCCACGGCAATAACGTGGCGGCTTTGTCTTCCCTCTTCGACCGTACGTGCCCCCCTCAGCCCTTAGTTTCCCCACCTGGAAAAGCCGGGCGGGCGGAAAAGGGGACCCCACATTTCCCCCGACACCCCGCTCCTCCTCCTCGGAGCCTCCACGGCGGCCTTCACCGGCCTTCACGGCCTCCAATGTGTCCATTAGCCTCCTCCCTCCTCGAGCTCGCGGGCCTCTTTTCCCGGCCTCCTGCCCGGCGCTCGATTTTTTGCGTTGCCGAATTTGTGGGCCTCTACGGAGGGTAGAGGCCCTGGGTCCTCCAAAAAAAAAAAAAAAAACAAAAGAGAGAGAGAGAAGAGGCCGGGTGGAGGCCGGGATTCGGAGGAAGCAGGATGGAGAGAAAGCACCGTGCACAGCCGGGACCGGAAACCGGTGACCTCGCCCTCCAGCGAGCCTCCTGCCTCGGCCTCCCTCCCGGGTAGCTGGGACTCCAGGCACGTGCCTCCACGTCCGGCTCGTTTTTTTGGGTTTTTTTTATATATATTCTTAGTTGTCCAGCTCATTTCTTTCTATTTTTTTAGTAGAGACGGGGTCTCGCTCTTGGGCTCAGGCTGGTTTTGAGCTCCTGGCCTCAAGCGAGCCTCCCGCCTCGGCCTCCCAGAGTGCTGGGACGACAGGCCTGAGCCTCCGCGCCCGGCTAAGTTTTTTTCTACATAATGTTAGTTCTCCGGCTAATTTCTTTCCAATTTTTTTTAGTAGAGACGGGGTCTCGCTCTTGGGCTCAGGCTGGTTTTGAGCTCCCGGCCTCAAGAGCAAGCCTCCCGCCTCGGCCTCCCTCCCGAGTAGCTGGGACTACAGGCGTGCGCCACCACGCCCGGCTCGTTTTTTTTTATATATATATATATATTTTTTTACTTGGCCAATTAATTTCTTTCTAATTTTTTTTCAGCAGAGACGGGGTCTCGCTCTTGCTCAGGCCGGCCTCCGACTCCCGGCCTCGAGCGAGCCTCCCGCCTGGGCTAGAAAAAAGAGAAATACAGTCCCCCCGAGCTCAGACTGCCTCCCGGCACATGGGATGCGGGGAGGGGACGAGATTTTGGGGCAGGAAAGAGGTCACAGGACTCCCCGCTCATGCCTGTCACCCCTGCACTCTGGGAGGAGGCCGAGGCGGGAGGCTCGCTCGAGGCCGGGAGTTCGAAACCAGCCTGGGCAAGAGCGAGACCCCGTCTCTACTAAAAAAATAGAAAGAAATTAATTGGTCAACTAAAAATATAGAGAATAAACGAGCCGGGCGTGGAGGC